AGCACCTCTACGTCCTGGCTTGGTGCTATGGAGAAGGCAGAGAAGGAAAAAGAAAGTTGCCTTCACAGGAAAGGACTCTGGAAAGCCCAGGCATGTCTACCAATAGCTAAAATATTCAGGACAGTACCTTATATTTCTGTGATGTATCCCTGTTCTTCAGCAGAGTCTCTGGGTGGTGCAAATCATTAAGCACTTGGCTGCTAACCAAGAGGTTGGTGATTCAAGTCCACCCAGAGGCACCTCAGAAGAAAGGCTTGGTGATCTACTGCCCAAAAATCAGTATTGAAAACCCTATGGAGCACAGTTCTACTCTGACACACATTGGGTCACCATGAGTCAGAATCAGCTCGACAACAACTGGTTTGGTTTTGGTTTGGTTCATAAGACATTTCCCCATTCTGTCATTTGTGCTTCAAAAGAAAGCTATGTGAGTTAGGTAGGGTGTGTGATTATTCCCAGTTCACAGATGGAACAGTTGAGGTCTAGAGTCTCACAGCTGGTGGGGAGCTGAGCTAGGACTGGTGCTCCTCCTGATGCTGGCAGGGTGAGACAGCATGGAAGGAGGGAAAACAAATGGCCAGGGGAGTTAGAGGTTTGATGGACGGCAGTAGAGGACGTGGGAAGTTGAAGCCCCTGACTCAAGTGGCTCTGTTCCTGCCCTGTTCCCTGCTGTTCTGGCCCAGGTACCAATGCATCTTCTGCTGGGAGACCTTTGTCACTTATTATAACCTGAAGACCCACCAGCGAGCCTTCCATGGCATTAGCCCGGGCCTCCTAGCCAGTGAGAAGACACCCAATGGAGGCTACAAGCCCAAGCTCAATACCCTCAAGCTGTATCGTCTGCTCCCCATGCGGGCAGCCAAGCGGCCCTACAAGACCTACAGCCAGGGAGCCCCTGAGCCCTCCCTTTCTCCAGGCCTCGACACAGCAGCCCCTGCAGCAATCCCAGTCAGCCCACCACCCGGCCCCCCACCCGCCCCAGAGCCTGGGCCCCCACCCTCTGTCATCACGTTTGCCCACCCAGCTCCCTCTGTCATTGTCCACGGGGGCAGTAGCAGCAGTGGAGCAGCAAGTGGGCCAGCCAGCACAGGGGGGGCCCAGGCTGCCTCAGTCATCACTTACACGGCTCCCCCGAGACCCCCCAAGAAACGTGAGTACCCGCCTCCTCCCCCCGAGCCTGTGGCCACACCAGCCAGCCCAGCCACAGCGGTCAGCCCAGCCACGGCAGCAGGGCCAGCCACGGCCACAGAGGAGCCCAAGGGCCAGAATCTGCGCGCTGGGAGGACTCTGACGTACACAGCCAAGCCAGCTGGTGGGATTGGCGGGAGCGGGGGTTCCCCTGCAGGGCCTGGCCGGGGCCCCTCGCAGCTCCAGGGTCCCCCTCCGCTGTGTCAGATCACTGTGCGTATCGGTGAGGAAGCCATCGTCAAGCGACGTATCTCAGAAACCGACCTGCGTCCTGGGGAGCTGAGCGGAGAGGATGGGGAGGAGAGTGAAGAGGAGGACGAAGAGGAAGAGGAGGACGAGGAGGAGGATGAAGAGGAGGAGGAGTCAAAGGCTGGTGGGGAGGACCAGCTCTGGAGGCCCTACTACTCATACAAGCCTAAGCGCAAGGCTGGAGCTGCCGGTGGCAGCAGCAGCAGTGGGGGCAATGGGGTGGCCAGAGGCCGGCGGCCACTGCGCTGGCGACAGAAGGTGGAACGGAGGAGCTGGGAGGAGACCCCAGCAGCTGAGGGCCCAGCAGGGCGTGCCCGCAGTGAGCGGAGGCACCGCTGTGGGGACTGTGCCCAGACATTCGCAACCCTGAGGAAGCTGCGAAAGCACCAGGAGGCCCACAGCGGCGGCTCCCACAGCTCCCGGGCTGGACGGAAGCCTTCCAGCCGCTTCACCTGCCCACACTGCGCCAAGGTGTGCAAGACAGCAGCTGCCCTGAGCCGCCATGGACAGAGGCATGCTGCCGAGCGGCCTGGAGGCACCCCTACACCTGTCATTGCCTACTCCAAGGGCAGCGCCTGCACCAGACCCGGGGATGTCAAGGAGGAGGCGCCTCAAGAGATGCAAGTCTCCTCATCCAGTGGGGAGGCAGGTGGCGGGAGCGCTGCTGCGGAGGGGGCTTCTGAGACCGCCTCCCTTCAGGACCCTGTTATCTCAGGGGGTGAGGAGCCCCCAGTGGTGGCAGGAGGGGGCAGCTATGCCTACCCACCAGTGCAGGAATTTCCACTGGCTCTGATTGGGAGTGGCCGGGAACCTGGCAGTGGCAGGGGAAAACCTGGGAGTGAGGGGCCAGTGGGGGCTGGGGAGGGGGACCGGATGGAGGGGATGGGGGCTGCCAAAGTCACCTTCTACCCTGAGCCCTACCCACTCGTCTATGGCCCCCAGCTTCTGGCTGCCTACCCTTACAACTTCAGCAACCTGGCCGCTCTCCCAGTCGCTCTCAACATGGTCCTGCCTGATGAGAAGGGTGGAGGGGCCCTTCCCTTCCTACCAGGGGTCTTTGGCTATGCAGTGAATCCTCAAGGAGCACCTCCTACTACCCCACCCCCAGCTCCCCCAACTCTTCCTCCCCAAGTTCCCCCTAAGGGAGAAGGGGAAAGGGCAGGGATTGAGAGAACCCAGAAGGGAGATGTGGGGTGAGCTCTGGGCCAGTTTCCCCCTTTCACCAGATGCTACCCTCCCTGAACCCCACCACTACTACTAGCGCCCTGGCCTCCCTGCCCCTTGGGAGCCCCTCCACACACTTGTGCAGGGACTTGGGGGCCCCTGGAGCTCAGGGGTCAGGCTGCTTTGTGTGAGATTGTAGTTTTTCCATCTCCTGGGAAGGGATCTTTGATGGTTCCCCTCTCAATTCTCCTCCAGGGAATGGCCTCCATGAGGGGCAGGGGCAGCCCCTTGTCCCTTCTCCAGCCCTAGGGGCAACTGAGCAATATACTTATATGAATCTCTACTCACGGCCCCCACCAGCTCTGAATGTCTAACCCTGCACCTCCCGATTTGTAAACCAAGGGGGAAATCATCTCTGTCACCCAATGATCCCACCTGGTTCTGAAGCTTTCTCTTCCCCTACGGCCCTTCCCCAGATGCTTCCTAGCACATTCCAGTCTTCTGTTTCTTCTTCCCACTCCCCACCCTCCCCAGGTGAGAGGGTGGTAAGGCCCAGGACCTGGACCAGACCATTGTGATACCTGAACCCCACCCACTGAGGGGCACGGCTTTGGATTCCATTTTTCCTAGGATTGGTTTCTATGTCTCTGTTTTTTTCCTGTTAAGATGCCATGCCTTCCTTGGCTTCCATGCCTTTGGATCTTCCATACTCCTGGACTTTGGAGATAGCCTCTCCCAATCCAGGTCAAGGAGGTATTGTGGTTGCAGGGAGGGCTATATCCCTCTGTTCCATGGCTGAGCTCTTTCCCATCCCGAGGCAGCACCAATCTTGGCCCTATCTTGACCCCCAAATCCAGTGAGCCCCAGATTCTTCCATGGCAAAAGAGGCAAGTATATCACACCTCTTCCTGCCTCTAGATACGGCCTCTTCTGGGCTAAACCAGATTTGGGGGCCAAGAGGGAGAAGCTCCATACGGAATGGGGAAGGGAATCTATTTGTTCCCTGTTTTTCCTGATGGTTTCTCCCAGACTAGACCAAATAGCCAGAAAAATGATGGGGGTTGGATGGGTGGGTGAGCCCAAGATTTGCACATGACCTCCCATCCTTACCTTTACCCCCATCTTCTCCCATGTCACTCCCCTCATCAGTCACTCCAGATGGTTTGTGGGGAGCCACCCTACTCCCCTGGTGGGCTTTGGGGGTACCCCCACCAACTTTCCCTCCAAAATAGCACCTTACACCCCATCCTTAACTCAGTTTCCCACACCCAAAGATCCCAGCCTAGGGATGGGGTATAGGGACCCTAAATAGTCCCTAATCCCTAATTTGCACTAGTTAACTCTGGTCAGGGGTCCCTATATTTCCTTCCAGTGGGGGAGATGAAGAAATGTTTGTTCCTAATCCTCTGAAAACTGGGCCTCCACCATCAGTGATTGGATGAACACTTCCACCCCACTCCAAAAAAAAAAAAAACAGCTCAAAAGGAGAGAGCCAGTTCAGTTTTGGGGAGCAATTTGACAAATGGGAATTAGAGGAGTGCAGTTTAAAAAGGGAAAATGTTGCTGTCGTTAAAATGCAGCCATTTTCCCAGCTACTGTTTTCTGGGGCCAAGATGGCTGCCCTCTGAGCATCTGCTGAGAAGGCAAGATCATGGCTTCTGGAGGGAGGTGAGTTTGGGGGAGGGACAGGAGCTTCCTCCTGCCTCCTCTTGCCCTCCCAGCATATAGGAAGGGGGAGAAGGCTTTCAACAGGTTCCCTGAATGTTAACCATGGAGGAGGGCCACTCCTTCATTCCCCCCACTGTCTCTTTGCACTTTCCTTGGTCTTGGCCACAGCCTGAGTGAAGAGTTTCCTACTGAATGTACCAAGTTCCAATTTTTAAGGGGGGAAAGTTTAAAACAGGGGACAATGCAAAAAAAAAAAAATCACTAAAAAAGTCCCACAGATCTTGTTCTGGCACTTTAGAAAAACTGCGAAAAAATACATAATAAAGAATACATATATATATCTACACACAAATTATCTATCTATATATATATATACAGCGGAACCACAAGAGAGACTGAGGAGGGCCTGGAGGCAGGGGGCAGATGTGATGACAGTCCCCCTATATCCTTAGCCTGCACTCCTCTGAGGCAGAAAGGCACAGGAGACAGAAGGGGCTGAGGATGGACTGGGGAATTTGAATTTCAGAATGGGTCAAAATTCCAAAACCATGGATATTTTGGGAGAACTGAGATTGTAGACTTTTTTTTTTAAACTATGATTTAGGAAAATTGTTTCCAGCATTTGGTGGTTCAGGGCAACAAATGAGGTTGTGGCAAAGTGGAGATTAAAATACATGTATTTGAGCTGGGGAACTGGGGTAGTGTGAATTTTGGATGTTGGAAATTTGGGATTTTGCAATTTTGTCTTTTGAAAGCTATCAAGTCTTGTCAGTTTGTACTCTCTTTCCCCATGTTCTCTGGGAAGAAGGGTGATGGCAGAGTGGGAAGGCCACTGGTTCTGTGCCACAGCACGCAAGATTTAAAATTCTACAGACTCTAGCTCTATACGTAGTGAGGACCCAGATATAGAGAAACTGACTGATATTTATCTCTGCGTTTGTGTGTGTGTCCAACTCTCTAGGCCAATAAACCAACAAGACAAATGAACTGTGCTCCGCAGCGGGGTGCCAGGTGCAATTATTTGCGTGGCTGGTGGGCCTGGTGGACAGGGACATGCTAGCCTTATCCCATGGGGATCCCTGGGAATTGTAGCCCTATTCTTTCCCTTAGGACAGCTTCCAGCAGTTGAGTAGATGTGAGGGCCTGCTGACCTTAGGTACATCACTGCTATTGCACAGCCACTAGGCTCGAGCTTTCTTTGGTCCAATCTCCAGGCAGAGTCATTAACTGAGTCCTGTTCACACAGCCTGTTGTGCAGAAGTGCTGGGCCCAAGATCTGTGTCCTGGAAGGGCCATGCCTTAAACCAGGTCCAACCCTTTCCACAAGTTAAAAGGAAATTGCAGACATGGCCTGTTTTTCACTCCTAGCCTTCCCATTGACTTCAACTTCTTGTCCCCGCTTTCTTCCCTTGTTTCTTTTCCAGCGTAATGGAGGCTGGGCAGGTAAAATGAGTGAAGCTGGTCAGGTGGGTGAGGGTTTTGAGGAATTCTGGCATAAATTCCTTTACCAGAGCCGGTAGCCACTAATCAGCTCTAGCAGGTTGCTGCCAATAGAGAACCCAGGCCTGGTGTTATGAAGGTTTTTAAATTTTTTCAAGAGAATTAAGAAATCCAAATTTCCCTTTGAAATATCCCAGTTTCAAAAGGCAGCCAATGAACTCAAATTTAAAACGTTTACCATGGGCCAAGCCAAACACACAAGCTTGTGACCTCTGAAATGTATAGTGCTTCTCATATGATTCTCAGACAACCTAAGGAGAAGGTAGTATTATTAGCTTCCTTTTACCGATAAGGAAACTGAGGCACAAAGCAGTTTCAGTGGCTTGTCCAATGTTTGAGCACCAGAGCTGGAACTTGAATGGAATTCTTTAAAATGCTTTTTTTCTCATTACAAGCACTTGCTTTCCGAAATAACCTTATTTTTTTAATCCTAAGGATAATACTCATCACAAAAGAATTTCAGAAAAGAAAAAATGACCACTTGTCCCAACATGCGAAGATAAGCACTACCAAATTGGTGTATTTCCTTCCGGAAAATTTTTTCCCAATTCATTCAAATGTTTGTTAAGCACCTACTATAAGTGAGGACCTATGCCAGGTGCTGGGGATAGTAAAGTAAACAAGACACAGTTCCTGCCGTCATAGGGCTTGTAGTCTACTACTTGTTCTTTGATCCATTTCATTAGGGGCCTAGGTGTTGATATCCAAAGGAGCTTCTTCAAGAACTCAAAGAGTAAGCCCACAGCCCCCATCTGTCTCAGTCCCACTTCTGCTTCCTCCCCAGGGAGAGAAATGGTGAGGGCTGGATTCCCATAGAGGGAGGGTTTTGAGAAATTCTGACATAAATTCCAGAGGTTAAGAGGCAGAGAAGGGACACGGCTTGAGAGTACTGCAGAACTCTGAGTTCAACTGGCTGGGGACCTGGGTCTCGGCTCTCCTGTCCTCAAGGAAAGGGGTCGGGAGGAGGCACGTGGTACGTGGCGTCCAAGAAGATGACTAGGGTCCCAACGCTCGTGAAGATGATGAAGGTCCACAAGAAGAGGCGGTCCACAACCATGGCCACAAATTGCCAGTCCTCCTTCAGCTGGGGGTAGGCAGAGGAGACTGTCCTTGAGCTCGGGGCTGCGACCCCCAGCTAGGCCCGCCCCACCTCCCGGTGCCCAGCCAGAATCCTTCAACCCCGCGACTGAGCAAAGGGCGGGCTGTGGAGCAGGAAGGCAAAACCGCGGGCGAAGGATAAAAAAACCCACTGCCAGTCGAGTCGATTTCGACTCACAGCGACCCTACAGGACACAGCAGAACTGGCCCATAGGGTTTCCAAGCAGCGGCTGGTGAATTCAAACTGCCGACCTCTTTGGTTAGCAGCCAGTCTCTTAACCACTGCCCCACCAGGGATCCACCAGCGAAGGACAGGAGCGCAAAACTAGTCGGGAAGCCGGGGCCGGTGCCCAGGGAGGAAGATCTCCAATCAGAAAGTAAATCGAGGGCTAGGGGCGGAGCCTGAGTTTGAGGGTGGAGCCGAAGTCACAGAGGCCCTTATTCTGCCTTGCCCACCCTCATTGGGCTTACCGCATCGTGGTCCTCCTGCTCCTGCAACTGTCGAGCGATGTAGCTGATCGAAGAAACGACCTCTCGTAGCTCGGGAGGCAGGCCTACAGCCCGGTTTGGGCCGTCGATAAATCGCCGCAGGTCCGGGGCAGTCAGTTCAGGCTGGAACCTAGAAGAGGAGTGAATTTGACCACGCCCTGGGTGCAAAGACACAACCCACGCCAGTGCTTTAAGGCCCACCCCAACTCCCTCCTCCAACACTCTGCCTGTTCTCAAAACCTGAGAGGGCCCTTCAGGCTCTCCTAGCCAGCGGCGACCTTCAATAAACCTCGCCTGCCTTCCGCAACTCCTCCCACGCCTCTATGCTTTAGTTTCCACCTTCCCACAAAGTGGACAGCGGGAAGGGTACTACAACTCCCATGATGCTCAACCACCACATCTTCCGGGAGCACAGGCCTCCTGTTTCCGCACAGTCTTCTGGGAACTGTAGTTCTCCCTCCCCCTTCTTTATGGGTGATGGATGGCAAGTCCTACCTGTTGAGTTTAGGAAAGAGAAAATCACTCGGTGGCTTCCGGATGAAATATTCATCTGTTCCCCGACCCCAGCCACTTCCTGGGGAATCCTTGAGGGCTAGAGGAGGGGGCTCCGGCATGTGGTCTCTCTCAGGTTTGGGCCTCTTCAGACCCAGGTACCGCGGTAGTTTGTGGATGAAGATCTACAGGCGGAGTAGAAGAGGAGTACTGAAGGGGGCCATCAGGCTTTCAGACCAGAAGGGAAGCAGCCAACTACCCCTTCGCCACATGCTTATTCCTGCGCCTGCGTGAAACCAGTCCCACAGACCTACGCAGGCAAGGAAATGCACTACACACCCTTAAGAGCTCTTAAATAGGTTGGAAGGCATCGTGACTGGAAAGAGAGGTTCCGAGGGCTCCCATCCTAATAGTAACCAACACTGAGAATGTCTCTCTTGGATTCAGAATGGATAATACTGGTGAAGAAAGTATGAGAACTATGAAATTATAACGATGGGAGGATAAAATTAATTTTGCCAAGTGACACCTGGACAAAAAGCCAAATACTAGGATTAAGAGTTAACAAAGGTTGGGGTTGAGATCTCTCTTACCTGTCGAACCCAAAGGGGCATTTGGTGGGTGTAGGGTGAGCGGTGGTGCAGGTTGAGGACTATGACGCTCAAGATAACGGAGAAGGTGACGAGGACCATGGTGAACATGAGGTACTTGATAATGATGGGGACTGATAGGGAGGTCTCAGGCACTTTGTCTGCCAGCAGCAGCAGGAACACAGTAAGAGTCAGCAAGGCAAAGATCGAGAGCCCCATCTTCTCCCCTTGGGGGTTAGAGGGGAAGGAGGATTAGGCTTTGCCAAAAGGCAATTTCCATGGCATCATCAGTGACTGTTTCGAGCCCACTCAAAGATAGGCTTTTGGAAGGGTCATCTGCATACAAATGATTCCTACAAGTCTAAAGTCTGGGCTTCTCCCCTGAATAAAATCATATACACCTGCCTACTTAACCTCTCCGTTTGGATGTCCAATAACCCGTTGCCGTGGGGTCATTTCCGACTCATAGCGACTCTATGGGACAGAGTAGAATTGCCGCATACAGTTGGAGCAGCTGGTGGATTTGAACTGCCAACCTTTTGGTTAGCAGCTGTAGCTCTTAACCACTGCGACACCAGGGCTCCCGTGGATGTCCAATAGTCATCTCAAGTTTAACATATCCCCTGCTTCCAAAACTGCTCCTCTTACAATCTTCCCCATCTTATAAATGACAACTCCATCTTTCCTGAGCTCAGTCCAAAACCCCTGGAGTCATTCTCAATACTCCTCTCTCTCTCATCCCATATGCAATCCATAACAAACTCTATTGACTCTGCCTTCACAATATATCCTGAAACTAATGATCTGTCACCTCCACCACTACCACCCTGGTCCAAACCACCACTACCTCAGGTCGAGATTATTGTAACAGCCTTCTAACTGTTCTTCGGAAACCCCGGTGGCTTAGTGGTTAAGAGCTACGGCTGCTAATCAAAAGGTCGGCAGTTTGAATCGACCAGGTGCTCCTTGGAAACCGTATGGGCAGTTCTACTCTGTCCTATAGCGTCACTATGAATCGGAATTGACTCGATGGCAATGGGTTTTAACTGTTCTCCTTGCCTCATCCTTTGTTCCCCTGAAGACTGTTCTCGACTAAACAGCCAGGATGATCTTGTTAAAATGTAAGTCAGATCATATCACTCCTTTTCTCAAAACCCTCCAGTGGCTCCTCCTCTCCTTCCGCATAGAAGCCAAAATCCTGACTATGATCTACAAGGCCTTCCCATTATCTCTCTGGCTTCATCTCCTACTGTTTTCCCCTTGCTTACTTCATTCAGTACATTGGCCTCTGCGCTGTTTCTCGAACGTGTCAGGCACATGCCCACATCAGGGCCTTTATACTCACTGTTTCCTCTGCCTGGAACATTCTTCTCCCAGATATCTGCCTGGCTCACTATCTTGCTTCCTTCCAGTCTTTGTTCAAAGGTTCCCTTTTCAGTGAGGCGTTCACTGGCCCTTCTATTTTATTTATTTATTTTTTGCCAATTCAACTTTTTACAGGTGTACAACTTATTGACAAGAATTATAATAATCGGCTCTGCAATACCCTTAATAAATGTGATTTTTCCATCATCATTAACCACCTTTCCCCCCTCCCTCCCACCACTGGTAACCACTAATAAACTTTGTTCTCCATACATTTGCCTTTTCTTGTCTTTTTATATAAGTGAGGTCATACAATATTTGTCCTTTTGTGATTGGCTTAGGTCACTCAGCGTAATGTCTCCAACCTCCATCCATACCGTAGCAGGTATCAAAACTTCATTTCTCCTACTGGCTGAGTAGTATCCCATTGTATGTATGTACCACATTTTGTTTATCCATTCATCTGTTGATGAGTATTTAGGTTGTTTTCACCTTTTGGCTATTGTGAATAGCGCTGTAATGAACATTGCTGTACGAGTCTCTTTTGAAGTCTCTGCTTTCAAGTCTTTTGGGTATATACCTAGGAGTGGAATTGCTGGGTCATACGGTAGTTCTGTTTTAGTCTTTTGAGGAACTGCCACACTGTTTTCCACAACATCTGTATCATTTTGCATTCCCACCAGTAATGGATAAGGGTTCCAATTTCCCCACATCCTCACCAACATTTGTTATTTTCTGTTTTTTGAATCTTAGCCACCCTAACAAAAAACCAAACCCATTGCTGTTGAGTCGATTCCAACTCATAGCAACCCTATAGGACAGAGTAGAACTGCCCCATAGGGTTTCCAGGGAGTTGCTGGTACATTCAAAGTGCTGACCTTTTGGTTAGCAGCCAGGCCCTTAGCTCTCTTAGCCACTGCACCACTGGGGCTCTTTAGCCATCCTAGTGGGAGTGAAATGGTATCTCATTGTGGTTTTGATTTGCATCTCTCTGATGGCTAACGATGCTGAGCATCTTTTCATGTGTTTAGTGCCCATGTGAATGTCCTCTTTGGCGAAATGTCTATTCAAGTCCTTTGCTCATGTTATGGTTGGATTATTTGTCTTTGTTATTAAGTTGTCGAAGTTTTATATAAATTTTGGTTATTAGGTTTTTGTTGGCTATATGGTTTCAGAAGATATTCTCCCAGTTAGTAGCTTGTCTTTTCACTTTTTTTGGTAATGTCTTTTGATGAACAAAAGTTTTTAATTTTTATGAGGCCCCATTTATTTATTTTCTTTTTTGTTGTTTGTGTTTTTGTTATTATATTAGACAATCCATTGTTGAAAGCTAGGCCTGACACCGTTGCCCCTGCTTGTTCTTCGAAGAATTTTATGGTTTTAGTTTGTGCATTTAGGTCCTTAATCCATTTTGAATTGGTTTTTGTGTATAGTGTGAGGCATGGATCCTGTTTCATTTTTTTGCATGTGGAAACCCAATTTTCCCAGCACCACACATTGAAGAAACTCTCCTTTTGGCCATGCTATTTTTAAAATGCAACCTCTACCCCAATTCTTATCCGCCTCAACACTCTTTCTTACTTTATTTCCCTCCTCAGCACTTGTGCTCTTCTAATATACTACAGTGAAACCTGTGAGAGCCGGAACTAGACAGTACTGCCTTGTTTTTCCTAGTCTCAAAAGTTTTCTGCCTTTAACAGGGTGCAGCCTTACCATTTTTCCATTGCTCTCCATTAATGGAAAATATTTCAGTTTTCCTTCTCTGACAGGTGTCCACCTTACGCAGGTTCTGGCCTTCACAGGTTTTACTGTATCTAATAGACTTATTTATTTTGTTTACTGACTGTCTCTGCCACTGGAATGTAAACTCCACTAGGGCAGGGATTTTTGTCTCTTTTCTTCACTGATGTATTCCTAGTACCTAGCACATAATAGACACTCAACATGAATAAATGGACCAACCCCTGTAGCTTTTTCAGGAACTACATAGCAATTTGAATGAAGGGTCTAAAAATGAAACAAAGTATTCAAGGATATGCCAGGTGGCTGGTTATTCATGTGGCATACAATGGGCACTGCAAACTTCATGGAGGGTATTGAAATAAACGATTTTCATGATACGTTCTACTTCGGTCCTATAATTTTGGGTTTCAAGATTTACCCTGCTGCAGGGGGAAGTAGGAGGTTACATTTGGAAGTGAGTTTTAGAGTGCACCACTCTCTTTCCCTAAACAAAGAGAAGACTTGATGCCAGAGAGGAGGAAGCCATATTTTGAACACTGCAGTCAAAGATATGCAGTCCCTGAAACAGACTGGCACTGACCTGAGCTGGAATGCCAACATTGCCCCTCTCTAAAGATATGACGTCTGGCAAGTGACTTAAGCTGCCTCAGCCTCTTTACTCTCCTCTGTAAAATGGGAACAACGATACAGTACTTACCTCTCAGGGTTGTTGTAAAGATTAGAATTGAGTTAATATATGTAACATGCTAATTATATAACCTTGTAGCAAGTGTTCAAAAATAGTAAAAATAATACCAACACTCTGTAGCATTTACTGAGTACCAGGCAGTTAATCCTCACCATAATTCTATGCAGTAATTGTCCCTGTTTCCAGATCAGGAAACTAAGAAACACAGAAATGTCCCTGTTACTACATTATGCTGCTTCACAGAGACATGTTGACTATTATTTCCCAGGGAGGTTAAGTGGGTGTCTGAAAAGTTGGGGAGGAGGATGCTAGGAACAGAGAAAAGGACGGGAACTGTTGTTTAAGCTTGGGAGTTTGTTGGTCAGAGGAAAGGAGATTCCATGGGTGAGAGCCTAGGGCTCTGAAAGAAAGAGTTCAAATGTCCCACCACAGGAATGGAGAGAAAGGGGCAGCAGAGGGGAGCCAGAGCCTGTGGTTTCGCCCACTTGGTGGGAGGGAAAACCTGGGTCCAGATGGGGTCTCTCTGCTTAAAGGGAAAACCTGAGTGAGATTCCATGATTGCCTAGGTGGGCAAGAAAACCCTGCCTGGATTCAAATGAAGAGGAAGGAGCTGAGCTATTGGTGGGAAGGAGCACTGGGTCCCTGCAGTGCAGGGAGTTACTTAATATGGCCCTTCTAGCCATAGTTTTGTAACTCCCACCAAATTACTAGGTGAGGACTATGCAAATGAGTGTTTGTGGCCCACTAACGGGATTGGATAGGTTGCTAACAATGTGAATAAGGTGCATGGCACCCTTGTGAGGGTGGGACAATGCAAATAAAGTGTTTGGAACCCTAACGAGGGGATTGGTCAGTTTTGCCATCCTGCTAGGCTTAAAAGAGCAGTCAATCTGGGGTGGGGGTCGGGGAGGGACGCCTACTGCCACCAAGAAGGAAAAGCTAGGAGTCGGGCTTGTCCATTGGACATGGGATCGCTGGGTTGAGACGTTCTAGAGACAGTGAGAGAGACAGCTGTAGCACTAGAGACAGCGAGAGATGGCAAGAAGCAGCAGCAAATCAAGGCAGCAGAGGCAGCCGAACCAGGAGACCGGCAGGAGACAGCGCGGTGGGCTTCGTGGCTTGTGGAGCAAGGTGGTTGTACTGGGTGTGCTGGCCCACTGAGCAAGATAGCTGAGCACATTTGGGCCAAGATTTACTGGTGGAGTGGGGTGCCTCAGGGCACTTGCCAGCAGAGCTAAAAGAGCTTTGTAACGCTTGCCTGAGCAGAGAGCAAAGCAGAGGCCAAGGGGCCAGAGAGAGGCATGCCTGTGGGCACGGCTGAGAAGAGGCTGTTCTGAGCGAAGAACTGTATCCTGAACACTCCTGAACCTGAATTGTAACCTGTTAACTTCCCTAATAAACTCCATAATCGAGAGTATTGTCTGTGAGTTCTGTGTGGCCATTGCAACAAATTATCGAAACCAGCAGAGAAGTAGAGAGTGCTGTGGGAGGGTGTTAGAATTGGTTAAAAGGTTGGAGGGCGGAGGCATGTCTGCCCTCCACCTAATAGGAATCAGCCTTGGGCTGTTGATCTTGATTCTCCTTCCTTCTTGTGAAGTTAGAGGAAGTCAGACACCATTTTTACAGTTTCTTTTCCCCCCCTTACCCGCATCCGGAGGCAGATAGAAGACAAAGATGGCCAGGAGTGTGATCAGGATGCATGGGGCAATGACATTGACAAGGTAGAAGAGAGGCTTCCGGCGAATGATGACATAGAAAGTGACGTCCTGATGCTGTCCTTTCCCCTGTCCCCTAGGATTCCCTGGAGGCTGGATAAGCCGAGAGGGTTTATGGATAATCTCCCATTGGCCGTTCTCTGGGGGAGGAGAGCAGAAGAAGGGGACACAGGTGTGGGAGCTGTCCCGGTTGGTGCCAGGTATGGCTTGCTCTGCTACATCCTACTCTTGAAAGGGCTGATGTGATAAGGGGTTAGCTGTGGACACTGGGCTGGGCAGCCCATCTCTAATGCCCTTGGACAAACCTCAGTCTCCATATATGTGAAATGTAGATAGTCATACTCATTTGGCTGACCACCCAGGGTTGTATTGGGCATTGTTGACACAATATATTTATCAGCCTGTTAGAAACTGGAAATTATAAAGCCCAGGGATATGGGGCCATGCCCACTCACCAATGAAGGTGCCTTCATGAATGTGGATTTCCTGCTGCTCTTGCCCATCAGGGCCCAGGCCTGTCCACAGGCTGACCTCTGAGCTGTCATAGCTGTAGGAACTGAACACCATGGTGCAGTTTTGCCAGTCAAAGGGGAAGTAGGTGACCTGGACAGAAGGGGGAGTCATTAGAGCTGCAAGAGAACTAGCGGGGATTGAGGGAGTTTAGGAGGTCAGTGGGGGAGGTCACAGAACAGATGGGGTACTGGGTAGACAGGGGTCACCAGAGGAAATCACAGGAAAGCGAGATTACAGGAGAATTGGCAGCTTATTAAGTGAGGGCAAAAGAGTGATTCGGGTCATGAGAGATAATGGAGAAGGGATAGGAGACAGGGTCTCAGAAGAGAAGGAGGGTTCCTAAGAGCGCCTTGAGCTTCGCAGGCGGGGCCTGGAGACCTGGATGCTGCAGCTGCTGCGATAGAGGCCCGGAGGCTGCCAGCGCACGGAGCCGTCGGAGGACACCACGACGTTAATATCCAGAGCGACCTCAAAGTTTCCGTCATTGCTGCAGGGAAGGGATTTCTCGTCTGAAATCAAGGCCCTGCCCTGGCGGTCCCGCCTCTCCGGTGGCCCCGCCCACCTCCCAGACTCTGGGAAGGTCCTTACTTGTTCACGAGTACCACGTCCGGTAACCACACCGATTCAGCTGTGACGCGCAGCGAGTCGATGCCATCGTGCTCCGCGGGGTCCCAGCTCAGCCTGTAGTCAGTCCACTCCTAGGGAAGCAGAGGCTGAGGGACTGTCTAGGGCTGGAGGCCAGGAGGGGACTTGGGATGTCCCGGGAACGCCCGAGAAGAGAGTGCTGCCCGGGGTCAGGGGAGGGGCCATGGGTCAGGAGGCCGGGGTTCTGACTCCGGCTCCGCCTTCACTCGCTGAAACCCACATCAGTTAAGGTCCCCTTCCCCCTTGGAAACCCTATGGGGCAGTTCTACCCTATCCTATAGGGTCGCAATGAGTTGGAATTGACTCGATGGCAACGGGTTTGGTTTTTTTCCCCCGCACCAGACCCAAAATATTTTTAGTCTGTAAAAATAAGGATGCTGCCTTAGTTAGCTTATAAAACAGTGTTTTTCAAAGTGCAGTTCACGACCCTTTAGTACACTGAGAATCAAGTTAGTGGCCCAAAACCAGTGCTTAAAAATTTTAGAATGAAAAATGCATGGAGTGCAACTCCCGTAGTATAGCTAGGCATTGTTTCCTGAAGCTTCTATTTCAGTTATAAATGTGTTTTCTGAAATGCTGATATAAAAAGTATTCCTGGGCTGGACATTCGAGGAAATTGTAAAGGCAGTGGGATGCCCCTCTCCACCCCACGGGGTCTCCGTACCAGGTCTAAGTACACCTTTGTGCTCATCTCCTCATCCTTCTCGTTCTAAAAGGGAAATATTTAAAGGACAGAGGTGAAATGGCAGGGAGAGAAATGAGGGGGCTCGGAGGGTCCCGCTCTTCCTAAAAACCCGGCCCGCCCCTTTTTGTTAGTCCCATCCTCTTGAACCCAAGCCCCATCTCTATCTCAGAAATACCCCTTCCGCCGAGGGCACTCCCATACTGTCCATCTAACAGTCCTACCTCCGCCCATCCCTCCGCTTGGCTCTGTCTCAGGCCTGGCCCACGTTCGTAATTCATCCAACCCTGAATCTCCTCCCTGTTTTTTTGTTGACTCGCCCAGGCACCAAGCTCCGCCCCAGCCTTGTCGTAGCCTCATATGGCCACGCCCCCAGCCCGTCCATAGGTCCCAGCTTCCCCTCAAGGTCCGCCCACGACTCTATCTGGTTCCATTCCTTAGCCCAGCAAGCAGCCACGCCCACAGCCCGTCCATTGGCCCGATTTCCACTCAATCTCCGCTAACGCCTCGTCCATCTCTTTGCCAGGCCTTTCCCCCAGCCTGTACATCGGTCCTACCCAGCCCGAAGCCACGCCTCTCAGCCTGTCTGTGGGCCCGACCTCCACCTCCGGCGCGCAACCTCACCAGACTTATAAGTTGCGCTAGGGTGAGGCCAATGCTGACCAGGACGCGGTCTCCCACCTCCCGTGCCGGGCGCACCGTACTGTCATAGCCCGAGAAAAGTTTGTCGCGGAGCCGGCCCTCCGCCTCCAAGCCGTGAACGCCTGGGGAAGGAGAGGATTAAGTGAAGCCATAGTGTCCGGCCACTACCCCTGCCCCTGCCCCTGTCCCCTCGGGGCCCAGACTTACCAGGAGACAGCGGCGTCCCCAGAGCCCCCAGCAGCCCCAGTAGCAGCAGCGCTCTCGGGATCATAGCCCGGCCGGGTGGCCCAGGGAGTTCGCTCGGTGAGCGGCCGGGACCGCCAGCACAGGGGAAGTGACGAGGCTCCCAGGAATGTGCACCTGTTGTTGAGGGGCAGCCGCCAGCCCAGCCGCCCCGCCCCCGGGACTTGGTCCCGCCCCGAGCAACTGCTGGTGCCCGCCACCCACAGATAACAGACAAACCTTCGTTGTATAAATCGTCTTTAATTGAGAAAGCGTGGAGTGGAAACCTGGTCCCCTGCGAGCGAAGCCAGGAGATGGGCGGAGCCTGAGCAGGGTTTGTGTGGGTGAGGGGGGCATCCACCCCTTTAACAACAAGCCAGAAGTAGAAAGAGCCTGAGGAGAAGTGACCTGCCTCTGCGCCTTAACCCCTCCCTCACGCTTCTCAGTCTGTCCTGCCCAGGTCTGAGGCATCCATCAAGGAGTCTCCCGCTTAGATCACTAGTGGGTACCGGGACTTTTCCAGGTCTGCCCCTAGCTCTCCATGTTTTCCAGAAAAATCTGGCCAGGCCCTTTTTGCATAACCTAAAACCCAGCTGAGGTTATAAACTGTAAAGTAAAGCAAGGTCTATTCAGTTAGAAGCTCTGTGGGTGAATGCGGTCTAGGGTCCAAGAGGCCCTCACCCTCCTTAGTCTGACCTGTAGGGGAGAGCAGTGGGACTTATTGCTGAATTGGGGTCTCCTCACTCGGGGCCAAGGCTGTGTCCCACTTGTCCTTTTTATTCCAGACCCATTACTCTCTAAAGACTTCAGCTTTAAAGGGGACCTGGAAGGAATTCCTGCTGAGGTAGCTAAGTGTTCATGTCCCTCCAAAATCCAAGCACAGGTCCCACCATGCCATGGTTGTGGCCACTTCCCCATCCCAGCCTCCCTGTTAGGAGACAGGGATCCTTCCAAAACTCCTCTGCCTCTTCCCAGACTCTGTTCCCCTGGCAGGACCCCAGCTGGGTTCCAGGAGCTAGAAACTGCATTTAAAAATAAAGTTAGCATCCTATATGGAAGAACAAACTTTTTTTTTTTAATTATCTAGGAAAAATAAGAAGTGGTACTTAATTCATCCAGAACTCAGTTCTTTATGAATCATAGCTGGGTCCTTTCCAGAGCCTAGCCTTAATGGACATCACTAGAGAAGGTGGGAGGGTGGATCTAGAACTTACTCAAGAGCAATAATATGGCTATACAGGCCCCAGTTCCATCCTGGGGGGAAGCCCTGAGAGTTGCAGTCTAACTTCTAGAGCTGAGATTCGGGAGAAAGTATGGCTCCACATAGGTCTAGAACCCCAGGCTCTAGAACTGGGTGTCTCTGGGATAAGGAAGTTAAGCCTGTGGTGATCTGAGACCGGTCCCAGTTCAGGCCGAGGCCATGGCTGGGCAGAGCTCAAATCCAGCCTCCCTCTCCTTGGAAACCAGGGGTCTTTCTGGGTCGAGGACAGAAGCCTGATGGAATCAGAACAGTCTGACAGCATGCCTGGGTTCCACACAGAGCCTTAGTTCAGAAATGGCCCTGGCTGAGGTGCCCCATGTTCCAGAACCTGTCCAGACCAAGGCAGAAGGCGGAGTGGGGAAAGATGGAAACTAATCCTGAACTCTAATGGACCTATAAATCTGTGGCTCAGTGGCAATGAAGAAGGTGCATAGGGCTCCAGCAACTGGCAGGGCCTGGAGTGGGAAGTGTATATGCCCTGCCTCTGTCCATTTTGGAAATCACAGTGCCAACCCAGGAAAAGGTTTTGGGGGTCTGTGACTACGGAAGGAAAGAAGAGTGATCAGCCAGGACCATTTTCAGACACCTTTGTATCTCCCTCCTAGGTTCAAGGATCTGAGGGGTCTCAGAAGCTCCAAAAGTCACAGCCAGTCCCTAGGCTCCCCCAGGGAAGAGCACCTGGTGGAACCTGGCTGCTCAGGGCATGAGTGTGGCAGGCAGGGGTGAGAGCAGGGCCAGGAGCAGGGCTGGGAGACAGGCCGTCCGGGTGGCTGGCTCAGTGGGAGTGCAGGGAGCCTCCAGCCTGGGGACTACATTTCAGGGGGCGGGGGACTGGAAGGAGAGGTTTCAGGGACACTGTGGAGAGAAGGCTCCTGGTACATGGCCACTGTGAAGGGGAGAGAAAGGAGCAGGAAGGAAAGAGTTAGGCACAGACGAATCCAGACAGACAGTCAGAGCTCTGAATGGGCTCCCTTCCCCTACACTCACCCTCTGGAACCCCAGCCCACAGGAAAAGGGCTCCCCAGACCCACAAAGACCAAAGCTTTACTGGCTTGACCTGTCATTATAGTGGTCCTCTTGACACATGTAGCCTGAGCTGTATGTCAGTGAATGTCCATGTGGGCATGTCAATACCCTCCCATGTGGCCCACCTTTTCTTGAGGCCATACCCACCCTCCAGGAGCTTGGGTACAAAGTGGGCAGCTGCTTTGGTCTTCTTGACTCGGTTTCCCTTCATGACCCGGCCCTCCTTGTCTAGGCCTAGGTACCAGGCCCGGCCAGAACGGCACTGGTGGTAGAGGGCAGAGGCGTACAGAACATAGTAATTCTCAAAGACGCACTCCTTAAAGCGACACTCAGCTGTGAAATGCGGCTGAGGAGACAAAGACCCAGACAGGCACAGACAGAGAGACAAACAGACACATCACTGAGCAGAAAGGAGCCCTGGGAAGGAATAAGCTGGGATGTCATCCATGCATGTCCGTGGGGGCCTAACTTCAGAGTCCATGCAGGAACTAGTCAAAGGGAGGACAAGGAGGAGCCTGGTAGGCCCCTGAGAGATAACAGCTAGACTTTCAGGGGGCTGGAATAAGAAAGTCCCTTCTCTGCACTCTACCTTCACCCCTCACCATCCCCTGAATGACTCTGGGAAGTGAGTAATAACAAAGTTTGGAAGAGGCAGAATAAGAACTAGGAGCCCTAGAAGGCTGAAGCAGTTGGATTCCCAAAGAATCTGTTGGGGGGGTGTTTGGAGGGCTACAGGAGGAGTAGGGATTGGTGGGACCCTAGAGGAGGTGCTCTCAGGCGGTCAGTGATGATTGGCCATCAGTAAAAGCTGGGGGAAGAGGGAGTCCTGGGCTGCAGAATGTCTCTATGTAGCTGAGGATGGCTGTATGCTGGGGGGGCACCAGTATCCCAGGCCACTCAGCCTTAATGTCTCACCGAGCTGTAGAGCAGCCCCTCAGCGTTCATGGCCATGTAGTGGCCCAGCTTGGTACTCTGGATGGTGACCACACGGAGACCCACTGGGATCAGGTTGAAGTGGGCTGGGGGTGGAAGAGCGGACATCAGCACCCCCCCAGCTTCTAACCCCTACCTGAGCCTCCCATCCCCACCCCAGCTCCACTTCTTCCCTTGGGGGTCAAGGAGACAGACTGAAAGCAATGGAACCTGAAGAGGGAATAGGATTGTCATATCCTCTCCCCACTCCCCCCACCCTCCTAGTGGCTGGCTCCCCCTCTCACTGAAGGAGCTGGTGTCCTCTGGGGTGCCCTGGATGCTCCCATCGGGATTCGCCTGGAGGTAGAAACCCTGGCGGCAGAACAGTTTGGTGACGATGCCTTTGAGCTGAGGCTCTGGGGAGAGAGACATTCATCTTTGAAAGTGACATCTCTGTTCCCAGAAACATTCCTACGCTTGGTGGGATGGTAGGGAAAAAAAAGGGAATGGAAGAAAGAAAGAGGGGCCCCAGGGCCCCAGCTCTCTTAGCCTCCAAGCAAGCACTCTCCAACCTCTCTGGCTCCAGAGAAAGCTGGGATGCGGATCCTTTCTGCTTGCTCTAACCAAGAGCTAACAGTTTAATTTACTGAAATTTATTTAAATAGCTTAATTCCAACTCTACAGCTCAACCAGAAGGGGGGAGGGGAGGAGGTAGGAGAAGGAGACGGGGAAGAGATACATTGAAAGGCAGAGGAGGGAGACAGGACTGCTGAAAGGGTGGTGTGTTTGCGAATGTGGGGGGCGGTAGAGTGACCACAAGGTAGGGGCTCCCCCTCAGGAGAGGGGGTGGGGCTCGGCCTGACGCTGACTCAGCACCTGCTGCTGCGCTACTGCTCGCTTGGCACCGGCCTCAGCTTGGCCCAGAGCCGGCCTGTCTGACACTGACCCATCTGTCTGTCTGTCTGTGTGTCTGTCAGTCTGCTGGCTCGAGGGGCCCAGCCCTCCCTGAGGCTCAGCCTCTCCCCTTCAGTCAGGTAACCCGCCTGGGGTTGGAGACATTGGTACTGTATCCAGGAAATGGGGGAAGGGGGGGCCGAGGAGGTGGAGAGACAGACCGAGTCACGTGGGGGCTGGGTCTCATTCAGAGGGTGGGCTGCGGACCGTACCACTGCGGACGGCCGGTGGCGGCGGGAGAAGGGTTCAAGGGGACTGCCCCCAGGGGAGCTGGGAGCCGGCGTGAGCTGGGTCGGAGGGACACCCTGCCTGTCGTACGTGGACGGGGATCACACGCTAACCCTTACAACTCTCCTCCCCGTCGCTTGCTCTCCGCCGACTGCCCTGTCCCCCCTTGTAGGTGGTACCATCCCCCCACTCTCAGTGCCCATTTCCAGCCCTCCAACTGTGTCTGAGTTCCTCCGGGCAGAGGGTCCCCTGAGCCTATGGGACTCGGTTTCAGAGTCGCGCAGGGAGGAATTCGGGGGTAATTGCGGGTACCCAGCTCCCTTCTTGAAGCCCAGGTCACGGGAGGAGGGCGCACAGGGGGACGGGCTGGCGAGGTAGCTGCAGGGACACCCCCGGGGGAGATTGGCTCTGAGCCAGGCGTGCTCGGCCAGAAGGAACGGAGCCAAAGAGTGGAGCAGCGGGAAAACCGGGGCGGGGGTGGGGCGGCGGAGCCGCAGAAACCCTGGGGGTGACCTAGGCGTCAGGAACCCCAAGCCCGCTCGGCTCCGGATTGAAAGAATCGCGAGAACCCGCACGTAGGCGGCGGACGGTGGGGGTGGGGACTCCAGTGTTTGGTGGAGGAGGGGAACAGGAGCTGCGAGGCTTCGGGGCGCCAGACTTAATCCATCACGCTTCCCCCTTGCCCTCGAAAGCAAGGAGACTCGGGATGATGGGAAAAAAGAGAAAGGAAACTGAGGCAAGGTTAGACAGGCTGGGACTTTGTCGTCCTGGCCCACCCCCTTCCACTTCCGGGAGCCCCCTCAGCCGGGCCCCACTCTTCGGAGTCCCTGACTTCAACCTCCCAGGCAGAGAGACCCCGGCCCGGAGACCCCGCCCCAGCCGCACTCACCCGGGCCGCGGTCCGGCCGCAAGGGCCGCCCCCCGCACAGTCGCACCTTGGACAGCAGGATGAGGAGCTGCTTCTGGCAAAGGGACTTGGTGCTGCGGGGACACACGCGCCGCTGCGCTGACACGGGCCGGCTGCTGCCGGGCTCGCGGACCTCCCGCTTCTGCCGGATCAGGCTACTGGCCAGCGCCGCCATGGCACCGCGGGAGAAGACACCCCCAAACCGGCAGGCGCCCAAAGCGCGCTGGGCTCCCCCAGAGAAACCCGCTCACCAGGGCATGCTCTTGCCGCTCTGGCCCCGACTCATCGCCCAACTCACAGGACCTGAGGCTAGGCCCCAGACCGCCCCCACAGTCGCCAGCTCCGACTGTCCGTGCTCGCTCCACCGGACCCAGCAGCCTGCGGCCCCCTCAGTTGACCTCACCCTCCAATTTTGCCTCCTACTAAAAACTTCCCCTTCCCTGCTGTCCAGTGTCCCTGTCCCCTATTCCAAAGCCAACACCCTCAAAATTTCCAAGATGCAGTTCCAGTATCCCCAGGCACCTCTCCACCCTATTTTGGGGTCCTGCACCCCTACCAAATCCACTCTTGTAATCTAAAGAGAGTGGGTCCTTTGAGGATATTAGCTCACTCCACTTCTACTAGGGAGCGGCCAATGTCAGGGAGGAACTCAACCTTGGTGCCTTTTCCTTTGCTACCCCCTAAATGGACAGGATCCCCCACTTTTTTCACTGAAATCCCCAAAACCTATGTCTTGGAATTTCCAGGCTCTTCCAGTTCTGTGAAAAGAGGTTCCCAGGCTCTCTCACTGGACAATACCTTTTTTCACCATGTCACCCCTATTTCTAGTGTCCCAAGGTTCCAGCTGCTGAGCCCCTTTCCTCACCTTGTCACCTCCACTCCTTTCGAAGTGACCTCCAAATCCACCCTTCCTAGCAGATACACCAGGTGTTTGTCTGAGGGGCCCACTGTCACTTCAAAATAAGGAGCATCAGGGATTTTTTTTTTCCTGGTTGCCTCTTAAGTTTCCTTGGAGACAGCTGCTGCTGTTTAGATCCCACGCCCTCCAATCCAACAGCCCCCCGAGTGGAATGCACCCACGTTGTCACTGGTCCCCGAATGTGAACAGGCCCCCTACTAGTCGGAGAGCATCAGTCTGAGCTTTCTGCGGCCAGGCTTCCTCGTCCTCCCCGGGATTGCCTATAGCACCCCCGTCTTCCTTCCCCGACGCCCCACAACCTGTCCTGTCCTGTTGATCCCGCGACGGGTGGCACTGGCTCCGGCTCCAGGCTCCTCCCTCCCTGTCCCTCGCAAGCGGAGCTTCCCCCTGCGCCCGTATTGATGCCCTGGCTCTCCAGGAAGGAGTGAGGGTATCTCCGCAGAGCGCCCTGGTCCGGCAAAGTCGCAGCACTGGGCTAGGCGGCTGGAGCAGGCGAAGCGGCGGCGGCAGCAGCGGCAGCGGCTGTGGGAAGCTGAGGCGGTGCCGGGGACAGGAGCTCCCCCTCCTCTGAGAGCCGGCCCGGGGGCGGGGCAGGGGGCGGAGACGCCGGGAAAGGGGGGAGTAACTCGACAGGAGGAACCCCCGGGTGCCTTGGTGGCGGCGAGTGGGGACGGAACCGAGGCTGCGCCGTACGTCTCGGGGTTCAGAAGAGGAGGGACAGGGAGGCGACGCCACTGATCTGAACTCTGGATGAGGGGAGAGATTGGGCTTAAGCTAGATGGAATGGCTGACGGCCTGAGAATGGAGAGGGGACCCTACTGCACAGGATAGGAGTGAGGACAGAACAGAATCAAGAAAAGGGAAAGAACTGGAGACCGGGTGGTAGTGGTGATATTGAGCCTGGGGCGAAATCTGGCCTCCTTAATATCCCTGCTTTTGTGTGAGCCAAATTGGTTAGTTCCGGGTCTGCATACCTCTCGTTTCCGCGTTTTGTAAGCGTATATAGTCTCCCTATCTCTATTGATGCCTAAGAGGAAAGAACAAGAGAACTTGGGGGAGGGAGGTGTTTTTCTCAGGCTGTGCTGGGGCGGGAGGTGCGCTGGCCACAGATTAGGAGTGGACAGTCTGGAATGGGGAGACAGGGCTAGGGTTTGGGAGGAAACGACGAGGGCTTTTACAACAGGGTCTTTGGGCGCAAGAGACATAGTTTCTCCCCACAGGAGAGGCACTGGCAGTTCGCTCCACGTCCCGCTCCCCAAAAGCATTTTGCACGCGGGTAGGAGCATTGTCTTTAATGGACCCCGCCCCCCACGCCGGCCAAGCCGCCTCCTTTGCGCGCAGCCTTGGCCTCTTCCACCGCCGCGCGCAGGGCCCCGGCAGGGTCCCCGCGGAGCCGGGCCAACGCCTCCCGCAGAGCAGTGGCGCCGTCCCCCGCGCGGAGTTTCCGGCCGCTCAGAAAATAGTGCGGCAGCGCCCCAGCCTCAAGCACGCGGCCCAGATCGTCTAGCAGCCCAAGGCAGCAGGCGCCCGCGTTCTCGGGCCGCGCCAGGTAGAGTGCGGGCAGCCGCTCGCACGCCCAGTAGAGCAAAGTCCGCAGCAGGTAGGGCGCCGCAGCTCGGGTCCCCGCCACCAGCGGGCGCAGCAGAGCCTGGGCCGCGGCGTGCGCCTGCAGCAGTGGCTCCGGTATGCGCGCCTTGAGCGCCAGCTCCTGGCGGGCGAAGCAGAGCTGCCAGCCAGAGGCACCTGACCGCTCGGTGCTGCCTCCAGGCACCAGGTAGAAGGAGGCGGACCCGGGGGCCAGCGGACCAGCCCATGAGTGGCTCCGAGCCTCTTTGGGCCAGCCGGCCACGGACACCACCGGGATCAGGTCGAAGAGCAAGAGGCGGCGCGGGGGCCCCGGGGTGGCCAGGAGGACCGTCGTGAACCCCGCGTGGCGGGCTGCGTGCACCAGGCGCGGGGCACCCGGGACCGGGATGAGGTCCTCGGCCACCGCGGCCAGCGAAGCAAAGAACCAGGCAGCCACTTGGGCGGGACACAATGTGGGCCACACTTCCCGCGCCTCAGAAGGCTTCGGGACCCCGCTTGGGTCGGCTGGCTGGGTGACGTCACCACTCAATGTCTTCAATGGTGCGGGAGAACCAAAATCAGTGACGTCACGCCCAGGCGACTCGGGCCCTGAAACGTCACTAGATGATTTTTCCAAAGACACCTGCGGCTCAGGCTCAGTGACGTAACCGTGCAGCTGGTCCGCGGGACTTTCTTCGTTGTCGTTTCGGTGGCTCGAATCACATCCTCCTGGGACCGGGGGTCCCAGGCAATCCTGCCACGCCTCCCGGACCGGGGTTCCGCACTCTAGCTCTGGGAGGAGGAGCCATGCGTAGCAGGATTCCAGGTCCAGTTGCAGCTCTGGCCCAGTGCCGTCCAGCGAAAACACCGGCACCAGGAGAGTGAAGCCGGCGTCGTAGTGAGGTCCCCGGGCGTAGGGACCCAGGGGTGCAGGCCCCAAATCCAGGGAACCCTCGCGAATCCCGCCACGAAGCAGCAAGAGTTCTGCCTGAGGAGGAAAGCGGGGGTCCCGGCGGTGAACTAGACCTAAGGGAAGAGAAGGGTTCGTGGGGGTGTGGCCCAAAACGGAGCAAGGGCGTGGTGTGGCTAAGAGCCGAGAGTTCCCGAAGGCAAGGAGGATTACTTACCGAGCAAAGAGAATACAAAGTCTTTGGCCTGAAGGAGATCTGGCCCCGGCTTGGGCCCGTTACTCCAGCTCTCCTGCACCCCCAGTTCCTGGATTAGTTGGGTCAGTTCCCGAAGTTGCGCTCCAGAGCAGAAGTCTATGTCCGTGAGCGGCCGGGCTGGGGCCGGGGGTGGCGGGCCCCACCATGGGGCACCCCCCCAGACAGCGGAAGCCATGTGGCTCTATCGATTTTGACTAGGGAAAACACGGACGGGCGCAGCCTAGACGGGCCTTTCCTTTGTGGCCGAAAAATCGCCCTCAATCTCCCTGTTTCCGAAGCCAAGCGAGTGCCCCAGACACATCTGCAGATGAAGGGCCCTAAATTTAGTTTTTAAAAGGAACAAATAAGTACTTCTCAGTCTTTGCCCTTTTCTCTTATGCAGGCCCCCGCCCCCAAGGACTGGCTTATCTGACTCAGCAGGTGAAAAGTAGCCGTTGTCTTTCTCCTACGGGATGCAATAGCCAGTCTCTGCCGGCGCCCGGCGACTCCCTTTGCCTACCTCCTCTTACCTCTTTTCGGAAGAGGTGTATGGTCTACCTCTTAGGGGTAGCTGCAAGGGTGGGAAAGAGAGTGGATAGAACGATTCAACAGGTAACTTCTTCCTCTTGCCCACCTGGCCACGCCCCTAGATTACGATCACGCCCCTCCCTTTTGATTTTTCGGGCTGTCCTGGGAGTTGTAGTTTGTCTCCCGAGCTACCAGGGCGTTGGAGCCACGCCTCCACATTCTTTCCTGTTCTGCCGCAGCAGTGCCCGATGGAAGTCGTAGTTCCCATGGAGATAGACTGTTCTGGGTCTTTAGAAGCCCAGGTCAACCCCACCCAAGCATCCTTTGGGGTTGGGGCAGAGGGGTAATAGGTGGAGCTGAATAGCAAACAATAATGGGAGATGCACCCTAGGGCCTGGGGAGAAATAGAGACCCTTGGGTCCCACGTGTGAGTGGAGGAGCGCTGGTCATTTAGGTCTGAAAAGGCTTACTTCCCTCATTTTGGAGACAAGGAAAGTGTAGCCTAGAAAGGTTGCCCATGACTTGTCCAGTGTCACAGAGCTGAACCAGGAAGGTGTTGGAAAGGGACTCCCTGGCTAGGTGAACAGGTGTCTCCTTGGATCAGTGATCAGTGTTAAGCAGAAACACATGGGAAGTGACTCAGGCATGCACATCTGATCCAGGGAAGAGATACATATTAGTGAGCAGTGACCCCCCACACAGGCATGCGTGAGAAGTGGCAAAGAAAATGAAAATCGAATCCAGAGGAAACTCCTAGCTGGGCTGGGGCAAGGCAATGGAAGATTATCAAGGGCAGGAAATTGTTTTCAGTAATTTATGTTACTAAGGACCAGGACACGTTTTAAATCCAGAGTGGGGCCTGGAGCAAGGATAATGGAACAGAAAGATAGGAAATCAGGGACAGGCATGCAGATCAGATCAATTCATTGCTGGGCCGGGACTGCATACGTTCCCTCTGCCAAGGGATTGTCTCCAGAGTGGATAGGCCTAAGTCTATGGGCCAGACAAGTAAGCAGGGACTGCTAGAAAAATTAGAGGCCTATAAAGGGGACTCTTAGAATCCGGGGCTCAATCTGGGTATCCCAGGCCTCGTGAAAGGAACTCTTCCCCCTCAACAACCAGGGCTAGGGCCCCTGGGGTACCAAGAGCCACGAGACAGCCCAGAATTGGGGAGGCAGGTTTCCATACATCTGGCTGTGGGAGTCCCTGGATGATGCAAATAGTTAAGCACTGGACTACTAACCAAAAGGTTGGTGGTTCAAACCTACCCAGAGGCACCTTGGAAGAAAGGCCTAGCAATCTGCTTCCAAAAAATCAGTCATGAAAAGCCTATGGAGCACAGTTTTGCTCTGACACAGATGGGGTCGCCATGAGTCAGAATCAACTCGACGGCAACTTTTTTGTTTGTTTGTTTTTTTGGTTGTGACCCAAGAGGCCAGGTCAAGAGAACTGAAGACTGAGTTCTTTCTCTTGGTCTGAGGCAACGAGGCATCAGGCGTCTCTACGTCTCACCTCCTCCCAAGAGGGTAGGCTCTGAGCTACCCTAAGAGGAGCTAAGTTCTCTAAGCTCTGTGGGAGTTTTAAAGATGCTAGGAGTGGATGGGAAGAGAAAGGAAAGCTTCTCTACATTCTAGATCATTGCTGTCTGATAGGATTTTCTGTGATGATGGACATGTTCTAAATCTGTACTGCCCAATATAGTAGATACTAGCCATGTGTGGCTGTTGAGGACTTGGAATGTAGATAAAGTGACTGAGGAACAGAAATTAATTTTACTTATTTTTAATTAAAATTTAATAGCCACATATGGCTAGTGCTATTGTATTGGACAATGCAGCTCTAGGGCCTTGAGGATAATGGATTTAGCTATGGAGGAAGAGCAGAGGCAGTCCTCACCAGACCCTGTGGGTGGCCAGTGTCAGGGCTGGGGCTGGGGTGGATGTCCTCAAACAACCACAGAACACTTCTCTCGCCTCTTTATTCCTGATGTACCTTTGTCCCCTCTTTTTCCACGGTCTTCATTACATGCTGATATCCCCACTCCTTAGTGGTCTCCCGTGTGTTGCTGGGTGCCTCTTGGTGAAGGCGCCTGGGAGACAGAGCTTCACATTTGTCCCTGCCCACTCCTAACTGTCTCTGGCGGGCATCAAAGACCACATGCCCTGCCCGGTGCCCTGGTCCAGGGCAGTGGGGCTTCCAGTTGATTTTGAGAGGCATAGACATCTGGCGATAGTTCTGGCAGGCTGGAGGAACTGTATCCGTAGGGCGGTGTACCAAGTCTTGGCTGCCTGCCCTCCGGGAGGATGGCTGCAGCTCAATTAGTACAGGTACCTCTGAGAAGGTTTGCAGATCACTGTAGATCACCTGGTCCTTGGACGAGCTGGAGTTTTGATTGAGTGGGACAGAAGTCCAAGGTATTTGCTGCTCTGTGTCATCCCTCTGGGGAGCCTCCTCAGATACAGATGACTTCATCAGGGATGGTGTTGACTTGGGGGTCTGAAGAGGGCCTAAGACTGGGACAGAGTCAGTACCTAGGGCAAGGCCTGGGCTCTTTTGGAGGCCAGGATCTTGGCTAAGGCATGAGTCCTTGTGGAGGCCAGATTTCTGAGTAAGACCAGGACTCTTGAGGAGGCCAGAGTCTTGGGTAAGGGCTGGGCCCTTATGGGGTCCAGGATTTTGATTAATTCCTGGGCACTTGTGGAGGTTAGGGTCTTGAGTAAGTTCTGGGCTCCTGTAAGCTCTAACATCTTGAGTAAGGCCAGATCTCTTTTTGACTTCAATAGCTTGGGTAAGGCCTGCACTCTTGTGGAGGTTAGAATCTTGAGTAAGATCTGGGCTCCTGCGGACTCCAGAATCTTGGGTAGGGCCTAGATTCTTATAGTCTCCTGAGTCTTGGGTAGGGCTTGAGCCTTTAGGAAGGCCAGAGGTTTGGGCAAGGCCTAGGCTCTTGTGGAGACCAGATTCCTGGGTTAGAGCTGGATCCCTGCAGACTCCCAAATCTTGGGAAATGCCTGAACTCTTGTAGCCTCCAGAATCTTGAGACGGGCCTGTCTTATGGAGGCCAGTTGCTTGGGGGTGGCTTTGACTTTTGTCAGCTACAGTCTCTTGGGTTGGGTTTAGTTTCCTATAGACCCCAGAGTCTTGCATAAAGCCTGAGGTCCTCTGAAAGCCAGAAGTTTGGGTAAATAGTGTGCTCTTATGGAGGTCAGAGGGTTGGGTGACACATGGGCTCCTAAAGACACCAGCGTCTTGTTTAGGGCTCTTTTGGGGGCCAGAATCTTTGATAATGCCTGGACTCTTATGATGGCCAGAGTCTTGAGAAGAAATTTGGCTCTTGTAGAGACCAGGATGCTTATGGAGGCCTGGATCTTGAGTAAGGCCCGGGTTCTTGTGGAGGCCTGGATCTTGGATAAGGCCTGGGTTCTTGTGGAGGCCTGGATCTTGGATAAGGCCTGGGTTCTTGTGGAGGCCTGGATCTTGGGTAAGGCCTGGGTTTTTGTGGAGGCCTGGATCTTGGGTAAGGCCTGGGTCTTTTGAAGGACATAGGCCAGAGTCTTGGGTAAGGCCTAGACTCTTGTGAGGTTCAGGGGATTGGGGTTGGATCAGGGATTGGGGAATGATGAACTGGGGAGAGATGAGGAATTGGGAAGGGGGGATGGACTGAGGAGACTTGGAGGTTGGGAGAGAGGTAGGGGTTTGTATTGAGGTCGAGGGTTTCTGATGGCTGGTGGGTTCAGGAAGGACAAAGGATCTGGGAGGAACAAGAGGCAGGGAAAGAGTGCATGGTGGAGGAAGGGTGCTCAGTGAGCTCTGGGCAGTGGTTGGAGAATGAAAACAAGGTTGAGAAGGTGCAACTTCCTGGGAGTAGACCAGGAACTTGGGGTAGACTGGTGCCTGGGAGTCTGTGTTCTTTCTCCCAGAACTGCAGGGTTGGAAGCTGCAGTAAGGGAAGGTCTTGGGCTGGAACAACTTGTCTTTACCATCATCTGGGATCTTCCATTCCATATTCCCCAACTCCAAGTAGCCCAGTACAGAGCCTGCAGTGGGCTTGGCACCATCCCCACCACGCTGCTTTAATGTTTGCTCAGATGTACCAGAGCTCACCAGGCCCTGCCCATCTTGGGGCTTGGAGAGGGTACCCAAGTCCTTTCTAGAATACTCAGAGTTCTTGGGACTGTGCACATGGAAGAAGTTCTGCTTTACCCTGCGGGCATCGTAGACCACGTGTCCAGTGGAAAGGCCATGGCTCAAGGCAGCCAGGTTAGAGGGAATAGGGGTTAGAATGTGGGTAGGGGTGGGGGCAGGGACAGGAGCAGGGGTACTGGTAGGGACAGGGGCAGTAGCCAGGGCCATGACCAGTGATGAGGCAGGAGTTGGGGCAGGCGCTGGGGTCGGGGCTGGGGTAGGAGTACTGGCTGGGGTAGAAATTGGGGAAGGAACTGGGGCAGGGGTTGGGGCAGGGGCCAGGGAATGGTCATGGGTATGATTTAGACGAATATGGGCCAGAGTATAGGTTGGGGCATGGGTTGAGGTGTGCTCAGGGGCATGAGTATGGGTTGAGGTGTGCTCAGGGGCATGGGTATGAGCTGAGGTGTGCTCAGGGGTGTGGGCATGAGTTGAGGTGTGCTCAGGGGTGTGGACCTGGGAGTGGGTCTGAGCATGGACCGGGATGTGGGCTGGGGCATGGGTTGAGGTGTGCTCAGGGGTGTGGGCCTGGAAGTGGGTCCTGGCCTGGGCTGGGGTATGGCCTGAGGCATAGGCTGATGTGTGCTCAAGAGCGGGGGCCTGGGAGTGGGCCCGTGTGTGGGTTGAGATGTGTTCAGGGGTGTGGGCCTGGGAGTGAATCTGGGTCTGGGCTGAGGTATGGGCCAGGGCATGTGGTGGGATGTGCTTGGGGGCCTGGGCTGCGGTATGCTCAGGGGCCTGGGCTGGGGAGTGGGTACCAGTGTGGGCCGGGGCATGGGCTAAGATGTGCACAGTGTCCTGGGCTGAGGACTGGGCCAGGAACTGGGATGAGGACTGGGCTGGGGTTTTAATCTTGCTCTCTTGGGGCAAGCACAGTGGAACCATGTCCAGCTTGCTCATCTTTGGTTTGTGAGCCTTGACGTTGGCCATAGGGGCATGGAACTGGGAAGAAGTCTCTGGCCTGGAGAAACAGGAGGCTTGAGCCTTTAAATCTGTGAGCTGAGGGGCTTCCCCCACTCCCGTCGTCCCCTCATTCCACAGTCCCCATGGAGCCTCTGTGGGAGCCCCTGTGTGTCCACACTGAGGTGGCATCCAGCAGCACCTAGAAGCCTTCTCATCATTCGTGTCTGGTATCCAGGAGTCAAGGTGATTAGAGTGCCCAGGTAGGAAGCTGGAGCGATGATGAAAGTGGGAAGAGACTCTTGAGCACAGGTTTTTGGGGCTGACGGAGTAGCGCATACACACAGGATGGCTGCCTATAGCGCTGGGTTGCTTGTCTGCAGGGAGAAGTGGGATGGGACAAAGCCTGGGTCCCTGAGGGGCTGAGAACAGGGACAGGGATAGGGGAAAGGGGTGTGGCCCACATCCCACATGCCTAGGCTCACTCACCTTTGGGGAAAAAATGATGGAAAAGAATCCGCAAGGAGCTCTTCAGATGCCTCCAGAGCTGAGGGAAGCAGGGGAGGGGAGAGTCCAGAAGTCCAACCTTTGTCTGGCCACATCCCAGCAGCCCTCCCACCTTAGCCCCTGTGAGACTTCAGGGTCCCTTCCACCCTGCTGCCCAGACCCTGCCCTGACCAGAGTCACCACATTGATCCCCACGTTGAGCAAGATGAAGCTGCCCAGAAGCAGAAGAATCGAATCTCCTAAGTCCTGGCACTTCCTGGGGTTGGTGCCAGAACACACTTGGGCTCTGTGGTGGGCTTGCTCACCCATGGCCTGGGGTCCCAGGACTGCCTGGGCCCCCTGGCCACCCCACACATACTAGGAGCCAGACTCCTCTGTTGGGGGAGGGGGAGAAGGGCTGGGTCACAATGGGGCGGGTGGTGGGGTCACAATGAGGGAGGAGAGGAAGTGGAAGGCCCAGACAGGGGTTCCCTAGTAACTAGGCTTGAGTATCCTGAACCTGGAAGGTCAGACAAGACCTGGTGCCCAGCATACCTCCCCTTCCTTCCTCCCTCAGTATTTCCCTCACTGCCCACTGACTTCCCTCATTCACACAGTCACTCGTTCTGTCATTTCTGCAGTTTTGGCTAAGAATTCTGAGCCCCTTTGTCCACTCCTGAAACTGGCAAGACCTTGGCCTTGGAGCCCTGGGGTAGGCCTGGCTGGTTTCCAGACCTGGGCCTCCTCCCCGCCCTACACTGGGCCTGCATTTGCCCAGACTGGAACCCCCAGGGCTGGAATCTGGCCTCAGCTTCTCGTTTGAGGCTGAGCCTCCCAGTCTTTTGAGGACAGGGAAAGCTGGGACAGATGCGGTGAGTGCCCAGAGACCAGTGGTTTGGAGTCCGCAGCTACAAGATCTTTAGTGCATAGTGGACCCAGGAGGGGCCTGCTGGTAGGTCCATGGCCACTAAGCCAAGGGCATCCCCACACCAAGAAGAGGACATTAGCTTCTTAATTTAGGAAGCCAAGGGCAGAAAGAATGGTACTTCCAAGCCATAGACCACTACAGTGCTTCCTGGACTCTGTTTCTCTTTATTCCTCTCTCCATGCCCTGCCCTGCCACCCACACTCGCCTGCTGGTCAGCTAAGTTTCCCAGCCCGGCTCCTGTGCAGAAAGGGCCTTGAGGCTAAGGTGGAAGGTGGTGGCAATGAGGTGGCCCGCACTCGGTTCTCCTGCACTTGCCTCTTCAGCTCCAGGCTGTCGTACACCTGGTAGCTGGCATTGCCCCCCGGGTTCCGGCTAAGTGGGATGAAGGTGGTCGGGGGCGGGGTGGGCTCAGCAGCCTGGACCACAGGCAGGGGCTGGGAAGAGCGGTGGAGTGACGCTGAGCCAGGAGCTGGGCCAGGCTGGCATGAGGCCTCGCCCAACACAGTGAGGGAGTTGGAGGTGGTCAGAAAATGCCGAGCGGGCAGAGCCTCAGCCCATTCAGCCGCCCGGCGCCGAACCTCATGGGGATCCCGTGAGTTATAAGTCAAGTGTCCTGCAGATGGGTGGGGGCTGCGGTTGGGCTGGCTGTAAGGGTGGCTAGGGAGGCCCTGTCGGTGGGACTGTGGGGAGTAGTGATCCCGGTAGCCCTGGGCCTCGGGCCGGGTGGGGCTACGGGGCACCAGGGCAGGTGGGGGCTCAGAGCCCTCTAGACCACACCGCCGCTGCTCCCAGGAGTCATACAGCAGGTGGCCCCTCGAGGGGTGAGGGCTGTGCCCCCCAGGGACCCAGGAGGGGTTAGGGGGCAGCCGGCGGGGAGGTTGTAGAGACGAGGTCCAGTGTTCAGCCTCCACATTGCCCCAAATGTGGGATTGTGAGCAACGGGGCCCGTAGGACCGCATCCTCAGCTCAGACTTGGCCTCTACACGCTTGGGCATGCGGCGAAGTTCAGGGGACATGTAGAGAGAGGGTGGTGGCAGGCTGGCCAGGATGCCGCCTTGGTGGCCCCACAGCCCCAGGTTGGAGGGCAGGCCCAACCTCGGATAGAGTCCTCCCCAGCCCCCGCGTGGGTACTTGGGATGTGGGAAGGACAGGTCATCCTCATCCTCCAGGCAGGAGTCCTGGTCCTCCGGATCCAAGGAAGGCACTGGCCGCAGGGGTGACATCTTGTGGCTGCCGCGTAGGCCACAGAAGACTGGGCAGCCGTGGCGGAATTGTCTGTGGTTCTTTGGTCTCTGCTGGTGGCTGCAGGGGCGATGGCGGCGGCGGTGGCTGCGAGGGCTGCGGTTGCGGAGATGGTATGGAGAAGAGGAACAGCTTGTGGGCCGGGCCATTTTCACGTCCACAGGGTCCAGGGTGCAGTGAATGTGAATGTCCCTGGCTGGGGCCTGACATGGATCTTTGGGGGAGTTTTGACAAGACTGGAAGGTGTCATCTGGGGAAGGCAAGAGTCCATGAGATCAGGGCAATTGTCAGAAGAGGTCAGTGTTGGGAGCCCTGGGGCCTGGGTTTCTAGGGATGTGGTTGGAAGTCCCCTCTCTAGCTGCCATACTTACTTTTCTGATTAATCCAACAGATCATCTTGTCTAAGGCATTCTGGAGCCTATGCCACATCTAGGAGTGGGGTGAGAGTGAAGGCCAGGCTCTCCACCCCCAGCCCCTGCCCCCCTCCCAGCCACGACCACTCCCACAGGTGGAAGTGCAGGCTGCAGCTGGCTTACACCTTCAGACTTTTTCACCCCTTAGCATTTGTCCCCAACCATCACTCACCACAATTGCCATGTTGATCCCAATGTTGACAAGAATGATGAGACCCAGCAGCAGAAGCAGGAAGTCCTCAGCGTCCTGAGGACTTTCTTGGTATTGATTGCAGCACCCCAGGGTGTCATACCAGAGCTGGTTTTCCATGGTGGGGGGGTCCTAGGGCCACCTGGGCCGTGCCCCCCCCACCGGCCCCAACCCACACTGCACTCATGCCAGTACTTGGGGATCCCTACCAGCTGGTGGGGGAGCCAGGTCATAATGAGGCAAGGTGGAGGGAGTCACAATGCAGAGGTGGCAGCTCTTTTTTTTTTTTTT